CAAAAGATGGTACCTTCTCGTCCGACTAGGAGAAGTGCGAATAGCGTTCTCGGTTATTTCTTGATCTATCGCTCTGGGTACATTAGCCAACGTGTTTTGAAACACTCGCCGAGCGTATTTGTGTTGGCATCGGCGGCGCGTTGTCTCTCTTTCATCTCGCCACGGTGCCATGCTTTTCGCCTCGCGTGAAACGCACCGCGAAACGGAGAAACAAAGTCGTTAGCGGTCTAATTGCGAACCCTTTCCTGCTAGGACGACTTGTCCTTGATCTCGCGATTTTTTCCTCCAACAGATCAAAGACTCGGGCGCGTCACCTCGCGAACAGCCCTGTCAATCATCCGTGACGCCTGGTCAAAGGGGTTGCGGGGGGGGGGGGGTGGTTTAATTATCATACTGATCCATCGCAAATTCGCCGAAACCCGGGAATCGCGCTTTACCCAACCATGTTGCACAACCTATTTTCAATGTTATCCAGCGTTCACCAATTATCCAATTTACTTACGTGCATTTCCACAGATTTTCCGAAGAAATTGCCAAAGAGAAGATAAAAAGTCTTGTTCGGTGTTAAGGGTAACAACAAATCGCGTACGAACAACGGTGATAGTTAAAGCATACTAAAATCGTACTAGAAATTTTTTAGTTAGCGTATCGCGTACAGATTTCCGACTCTGATTATAATTTAAAAATTAATAAGGCTAGAAATAGAAATAACCGCGCTGCTATATATTTTCTATGTACTCGCGCATAATTCATTAAGTCGTTGGTTGAATACAGTTCTTAATTCCATCAGGTTTATGATAGAATATTTCGCAAGGAGCTTAAGTAAAATATTTATTTTTCCGACTACCGCTTGATTCCAGTGAAACTGCGGTGCGTAAGCGTTGAATTGATACTGATTCGTAACTGCATATTAAACTGGATCCTTATCTAGCATGTGATCGCTGATTTAGCAATCTTTGCCCTTTTATCTAAGTTATGCGACAACGCTATCAATTTCTTACGATATCAAGCGTGATTTTTCCAAAATGTGAAAGCGTTATATCGACCGCCACCGAGGCGTTTAAAATTTGTGGCGCGATAAACTTATTTATCGCTGCGTCGTCTATGGATGAAAAGGAAATGATCTCGAGCGTCATCAGCGTACTGTTTGCCTCGTTTTATGATGAATTTACGATCGAACCGTACAAATACGTATATGTTTGCTCCAATTTTCGTTAGAAAGCAATATCGGAAAGATCCGCCGATCCGTCTTTAATAACGGAAAACATGGTAGAAAACGAAATTCCCTCGAGTCTCTCGAGAACACTGGCTTTTCGAATAAATAACGGCTCGCGTGCATCCATTATAAACGAGTAATCGCGAAACGTTTCAAAGTCGAGAGAAATATCGCAAACGTTATTTTGCAGCAGCGGTGACGATAAATAAAGTTCGAGTCGAGAATATTGCAATCGTATATCAAACGAAATCCTTTTGCGCTTCTTTTCCTTTTATTTTCATAACTATATGTTTTGTCGGAGGTAGATCAAAGAAACCGGTTGTTTCGTCGGCTGGCACTTTAAACAATTGGTAAATGTTCCTCGACTCGATGTCCCCGATATAAAATGATGACTTGGCGTTATTTACGACTCGAATACGTCAGTCGCAGCGGTTCAAAGGATTTACCTTTGGTTTTCCATGAATCTGATTTCTAGAGGATACTCGCGCGATAAGAGAACTTGCCAAACAATGCTCGATTTCGATGCCCTCGAGAAATTTTTTCCGGTTCACGACGAATTTTCGTTTGGCTTGCATTCTAACTGTAGCTTTATCGTACGAGCAACACGATCATGGAAAAATTTCACGCAAATCGATTTCCTACATCCTTCGAAATCGACAATGGCTAATAATCTTGACTCTGTCAAGGTCGTTGTGCTTATTTTTCCGTCGAAATTTGTTTTCCTCCTTTTGAAACATTTCTGTTTGCGAACACGGATTTTTCTTCGTAATTTCGATAGTTCCTTAAACGAAACGAAAGTAAACAGAGGAGCAAACGATCGAATAGAAGATAAAAGAGACTTAGAAAGCATCGATAGGACGGTTTGCATATTTAAGCGGAGACGATAGAGAGATACGAAGAAATTGTAGTTAAAAAATAACAGAAAATTCGAAATAAATAGTTAGTATAGCAGAGTATTTAGTTTGTTACTAAGTAAATAGTCGATTGACGCGAAAGCCCGTTGCTCTAAGCGAATCCCCGACGATTGATTTGCTCGCGACGTAACCGAGGATAAAGCCCGTCCTCTCTCGGTACCATGACTCTCCGAACGATTCATCTCCGCACCGAAGATAATCGAACAACTACTCCTTTCCCCGGCTATACTGTCGCATTATTTACTCCTCGTTATCGTCGTCCGGGCAGCAGCGGCAGCGGCAGCGGCAGCGGCGGCAGCAACAGCGACGGCGTCCCGACTGCGACCGTTCCCCCGTTTCCAACCCTTAATCGGGGAATAATAAAAATCATTCCCGTCGCGCGATGGCTTCTCAATAAAGACATTGTCCGCGGAGCAAATTCTTATCCGTGAAAAGGCGTCGTTGCCGTGGCCATGGCAGGGGGATGTTCCGGCTACCCTTCGACGAAGGGAGTCGAAAGGGAGTCGGAAAGGAGTCACGCGGGGGTTGGATTATCGGCTTCGAGATTACAACGGGCTGAAGCGAACGATTTCCTTCGAAACGGGAATACCAGAGCAGCCGGTGCAAAGTGGCGGCGGCTGGGGCCGACGAGGGTGGAAAGGGGTGGAGTATTATTGGCCCTAAGCAGGATACTTATTGAACTCTTAGCGGTGTTTTTATCACTCTTTTCCGATGTTGGCGTGCGCGGGCGCGCCCGCGCACACACCTTCTCACCGTCAGCGCTGCCAGCGCCACCAGCGCCACCAGCGCCACCACCACTCGCGCTTTAAGCGTTCTCGCCTTTGTTTAAAGGACTCGATCTCCCACTCGCACCGATCGCATTATGCACCCTTCTCGCGAACGGCCGCGAGAGGTTCTTAGAAGACTCCGTTCCGTAAACCGTCGCTCAAGGGTTTGACCACTTTGCGTCCTTTTTTCCACCAGGCGTGGAACAACCGTGAACGACTGGTCTGAATTCCCATTTCGCCAGTGGTATTAGACACGGTTCGATTTTTCGGCTCGGTAACGTGTTCCGAACGCGAGGTTCCAGTGGAAACGAGAATTATATCGAACTGTATACCGTCGACGAAACTTTGTCGATTCGAGCACGCCTCGGTATATAGAATGCTATTTCGATGAAGCACAATTTCGTAAATTATACGCTTTGGGGGAATGTTATTTTAGAATGGGGCAACTTCGTGGAAGAATATTTCACGGGATATATAGTAATGGAATGTTATTTTAAGAGTCCATAGGAAGACTTTACGACGATTTTAACGCGACAGAATACAGTTTAGGAGAGAGGCTTGCATCGCTGGAGTGTGCTTTAATAAAATATCCTGGTGTTATACTACGCTTTAAAAAAACTCTCTCTTTACTCTTCCTAATAAGGTATTGCCTCGTTATCTCTAATGTACCGTAACATGCCTTATATTATTTTGCTAAAACCACTCTAAGTACTGTTGCAATTCGTCGAACGAAATATCGATCCATTTCGATTGGATCCTTTAGTGGGATTTAGCGCGAGCGATGTCGGATAAATGAAAATTTCAAAAGATGTACGACCTTTTTATCGGAAAGAGAAGAAAAAGGAGAGAAGGAGAGAAGGAGAGAAGATAATTCTTTACTTCAAAATAATAATGCTAAGAATCGTTATTTTGTCAATGATCAAGAAACAAGTTCGTAATCGCTGGTTTACACTTGTTGCTCCGCGTTTGGACGTTAACGTCGATACGTCGTCGATATAGCCCGGTGAAACGAACAAATTCGTATGCGTCGAGGATTCTCCTCTGATCGTCCGTTATGTCACGAATTCCGTGGTGGAATCGATGAAAACGGGAAAGCAAGGAAGCTGGGGCCGATTCATCATGGCTCGCGGTTGAACGGTGGGTGTCAAACCGTCTCTGTCAAAATCCAAACGATTCCTCTCCGCCCGGCCCCGACCCAATGAATATTCATCGATACACCGCATTTCCTATTTATGATCTTTCTTTCATTACCAATTCCGTCGGTTCGTCGACTACCATTAGTCACACTTTGCGTACCGAAAGCGTGATTCGAGGCGTTTATCGCGAATCGGGAAGGTGAAGTGCACTCGGGGGTGAATTTCACCGGCTGGTGGGCGCGTGCTTCGTGCGTACGATCTGCAGAGAAAACAGGGAATAGGAAAGAGAGAGAGAGAGAAAGAGCAGGACAAGAGGAGAGTAATCGAGAGGAAGAGAGAGAGATAGAGATAGACAGAGATGAGGATAAAAAGAGAGAGAGAGAGAGAGAGGGTGATAGAAGCACGAAGGTTGGAGCGAGGGAGGGCCACCACGTGTTCTATCGAGTACGTCAGTCATTCAGTTCAACGCGCACGCAGCGGAAAGCTCAGTGTGTGCAACAGTTCAACGGAATTATACGGTGTCGTGTCGGTGCGAGATCCTCCATGCATTTCGCCGTGTGTATATACGTTTTTATAAATGAAAAAGCGAGGTATTAATCGTTGAAACGCATCGAATTCGACAAGTTCGCGCGTCATTTTCGATATTCGATTGGCAATCCGTGTTTACTTTAAAATATCGTTTTCGCGTGATTTCTCGCTCGTTCGAACGACAATCGCGTCGTTTTCGTTCGTCTCGAATCAATCCGGTCGAGTTATTAGCCACGATAACCTCTATCCCGTGAATTCTTAAATCGCGATACCGGTTTCGATCGTGCCGTTAACATTGATCGGTATCGAAAGACAGCGTAATATCTCGAATCGTTCCCGATGTTAATTTTCACCGCGGTTGGATCACGATTTCGGAATTTTCGGAAATTTCGTAGAGAGAAAGAGCTTCAGTTTGGAAACGTTAAAATACGAGACTCACCTCTTTGTCCTTCGCTTGCAGTTCCTGTTCGAGGTTGCTGTTCGGCGTCCTCCTGGGATTGCTGGCATCGTGTACCTGCTGCTGATCATTTCCCTGTGGAGTCTGAGACAATTTATGTCCCTCAGTCTTCGAATTCCCATCATTTGACGCGGCAAGTTGTTCCTTTAATGCTGAAACTTCCTTTTCCGCCAATGTCGCCCTCTGCAATCCAATGAAACAGCGTGATAAAATTATGCCGTATTTATACAAACTTTGATACATCTACGATAACGCGTTAATCCGATCCGTAATATATCTCGTATCGATATTTTAATTAAAAGTCAATTCCAATTATATCCAATTATAACCGTATTATGGTTACAGAAGAAAAACCTAACTGCCTTGGCTTATTTGCTTATAGATTAATAACGAAATATAAGAAAATCTTTAGTTCTCTTGTATCAGAATCGCGCGTGTATTTATTATAATTGCCTTATTACACGTTCTGTCGTATGGTTTTAAGGTAAAATAACGAACTAAACTCGCTGAAATAGATTTCTGTGAATTTAATCAACGTATCCACGATACGTTGAAATTACCGTCTAAATTTACTATTTCGATGATCTTACTACGAATATCCGAGAAATAACTAATCAGCGCAGTGAGTTATATTTATTCTATCGGACATAAGTATATCGTAACTTTGACATATGATTTATTCGTAAGTGGAACGTAAAATTTAATTGTGACCGTACCAAATATGAACAAACGTGTAATACCGGAATAAATAATTCCACGACAATTGCGCGGTAATTTATTCGAACAATTTCGTTGCACATTTTTATCGTGATATCATTTTTTTATACGAACGCGTTCTATACGATCTATACGATATATAGGATTCCTTATAAGCCTAATGCTAAAGGAAATAAAATTGCATAATCTTTATTTTCGTTGAAACGACATAAAGTACTTTAACCTACTTCGGAAATAGAAAAGTAAACGAAATGGCAACTATTACGCTACGGCTAAACGCGTTAATATATTCGCTCGATAGAGAAAAGCACGAGAATGTCGAGAAGCGATCACGGAAATATTCGAAATTGATAAAATCATCGCGGCACCGTAATGACGAACACATGCGTCCTCGCCCTGCCCCGGCGGTTTGCCTATTCGAGCAATCTGTAGACGAACGGCACATGCTAGAGCCATTAATTAGCATCTGGAAGCAATTAAAGTAATTGCTAATTCGATAGTAAAATATCGAAACACCGCGTGAACTAACGGCAACAAGTCCACGTCAGTTTTTGCTCGATGCATCGAAGCCGATCGATCGTTCCGCGAAACAGCGACGCTAACTTCTGTTCGATTTGAAATTGTACGGTAACACGGAATCGGGTATTTACACACAGATAGCCGTTCCGTATGTACGTACAACGTTTCACATTTACGATCAGTATATATTTTCCGTATATAATTCTCGCCGTATAAAACTCGCTATGTTCTTTCTTTCTTCGATTCCATATTTTCTCTCTTTATCTAGAAAAACGTATTTATTCCCGAATGTTGACTATTTACTAAAAAGTGAGGATTTTTTCCACCTATTTTTACCCCCATAGCTTCTCGAAACATCGCCATTTTATCCGTTGACCGAAAACGTCGAATCATTTCGTTATCCGGATAACGATATCGCGAATTATTTCTAATTCTACCACTAAGCGTGTATCCGATTAAGAAATCACCCGACTAGATAGATTTTAATTCTCGGCAGCAATATATTTCGCGATATTCGAAATAAATTAATTATAAGACGTTTGAAAGCAACCTACGTGGTTTGAAATTGAACGAAACCGAGATATGTATAGTAGAAGGTTTATTATTGCAAGTTTATTATTAAAATCGTGGTACGATTTTACATGGTAGTAAAATAAAAAAACTTTGCTATTCCGTTTCGTCGATACGTTAGAAGAAATGATATACTATTTGAAATCGACAGTTACCGCGCACTTCCGATACCGCACAGTTCAGACACTTGTTTCACGTTACATTCGTACGATAATTTGCGATTCGTCGAAATCTAATAAGAAGAAAAATATGTAAAAATGGAAGAATGTTAAGAAACGGATTTGCTAAAAGGATAGGAAAATCACAGTAGAATATCAAAGACGTTACGCAGCAGTGCGAGATCGTAAACAAATTTCGAACAATCGAAACGGATATCCACTAGTCATCCGGTGGTTCGACGGTTAGAACGGGGAAAAGGAAGATGGAAAAAGAAGAAGTGGAAGGGAGAGGAGAGACGCGGCGTCGGGAAGAAGAAGAAAGGCAGAGTAGCAGACAAGGTAGGAGGTAGCTATAGTAATGACCCATTGTTTCCTGCAAAAAGCCTTGACGATGTTATCGATAATTACGAAATGATACGGGAAGCATAAATACATATCCGAGAGCGGGATGCACGTTCATCGGAATGGCGGCCGAGTATCGATAGGTTGTCGAGACTCGTTCCGCGCGTATTTGTCGCGAGTCGATGGATACGCAGTAGGGCAGGACGCGAGCGGAGCTAAGGCTGATGGAGAGGATCGAGAAGATCGCCGATAAAGATCGTCCGTCCGCGATCGTCACATTAACGGCGGAAGTCGTTGAGAGATAATGGCTTCTTTGAACGTTCCCTAACGACGTTGCTTTGGTCGTTGTTCTATCAACAATCGGCTGTTAAGAATTTAAGTTATGGAATTACGGGAAACTCGAGCAGTCCTTCCGCTCTTTCGATTACTTCGAGGCTTTCAGCTGCTTCCTCTTTGATTGTTCGATACGCTTCAACGATCGTTGATTTCCGATAGATTACGTATTAACTATTTTTCTCTGTACTGCCGCAGTCGATCTTTACGTGAATAATAAAAATGCGTCGGGACACGCTTCCTTTTGCTCTTGTAAAACGTATTTTACGAACGAATGCTATCTCTATAAAAGGACAGATACGAATCATTCGAAAACGGACAAACTCGACATTTTCTTAAATGATTTTAAATCTTTCTAATTATCCGAATATTCTAACGTTGTTCTCGTAAAAGTTCCTCCTAGTCTTCCTCCTCGTAAATCTCGAATTTTAAACGTCCCCAAGAGAATGTAGTAAAATCTATGTCGAATAATTAACAAGTGATTATATAATTACAAAAACGTTATAATTTCTCGTATAAACGTTTCGTATTACGTTTTCCGTAAGCAAAACTCGCGATCATCGTTTCGATTGCAACTCGAAATAAAAATACGGAATACTTAACATCGATTTAACGACTGGTCGAATTCCCATTATGTACGGTGTATATTGGTCTATGCTGTTGTTCATGGTGTATATTAAGAAACGATATTAGGAGAAAATCGTTATAGCATTCCTTCGCAAAATTTCGCGATTTATAATTTTACAATGACGCGTCTCGCGCAATTAGTACACACCGACACGGATTCGAGGCTTTAGCTGTAAACACGTTAAACCGTGTGAATTCTGCAGAACGCCATAATTCAACGCGACAAAGATTGTCGGCAGCTTTTGTTCGTGAAAGCGCTACGGCGATAAAAGTATTTGTCGAAAGAAATAGGTAGGACCGATAGAAGCAGCAGCCGGTCCGGTTCGGTTCGGTTCGGTTCGGTTCGGTTCGATCGCCGGACAGCACCTATTACGTATTCGCCTTTAGACCCTGACAGGGAGGTAGCGGGGAGGGAAAGGAGTTGGATCACGACGAGGCGTTTCGTCTTGGGCCCGACGCTCGTCTTACACCCCTTGGCAAATTGACGGTTATCCGACTTGCACGGCGCTCTGAGCATCGATCGATCGCCACTCACCGATTCGATATACGGAATCGCGGCTCATTGTACGTTCCGCGTGTGCAAGAACCTGCTTCGGGGCTGCTTTTAGCCCGGGTGGTCACGCACTTTCGGATCAACTACCACGGCATCGATCGCTTTCTGTCGTGTTAATGCTTGTTTCCACGTTTTCTGCGCGTTCAACGACTTTGCGTGTCGTGTAATTAAGTCCCCGTAATTTGTTGTAATTTCGCGGCCACGGTTTCGTGTATCCTCGCGACTGCCACCCGGCATTTGTAATTCAAATCTTTTCTCCTCTCTACAAAGTTCTTCTTTGCCAAAGCAGCCACGAGCTTTGCGTTATTACCAATATTATTAACCATATAAATCGTTGTGCTCCAACTATTCTTCGGTAAACAAACTAACCTATTCGACCAATATATATTTCTAAGGATTAAATTTACGTAACCACTACTTTATTCGTTTAACCTTTTCCAGATACTTTCCAAGATTTTTCCAATTACTTTCTCTCGAGTCTAATCATAATAATAATAGTAGTATACATATAATAAATTTAAAACATATTCAGTAACGTTAATGAAACTACATCGAATACGATCGAATTGGGCAATTTCGATGTATTTTTTTTTTTTTAGACGAAACTGACGTAAGAAATAATACGGAATGTTTGAGCCTTTACCGGTAAGAAAGTTTGTCTTGAACAAAGTTAAATTAAAAAATAAAATACGCTTCTACTACTTTTCCATCGAGATTATTTGCCTAATGGATTAACGATTTTGTGCTCGCGCCACGAAATAAGAAGATAGAAATTTTTATTAAATATAAAATATTTTGGCGGTGAAATTAAAAAAAGAAAAAAAAAAATTCGAAAAGCTATATTAATAACTTTGATCTGTGAAGGGCTCGCGCAATAATTTCGACTCGTTACTCTGTGCTGTTGGCAACATGACGTATCGTCGCCGTTCGAGAAAATTCAAGCCTAACCCAACATCGCGCGAATATTGGTAAAATATGGTGACTAAGTAGAAACGGACGAAATATCGCGTTTCTATATCGATGTTGGCGAAGATGTCGTTCTTGTCAAGCTTTTCGTCAAGTTCGGTAATCTCGCGTTGAAAATGCTGAAAGGAAATGGGCCATCTACAATGAGCACGCGTGCGAGTTGGCATAGCGTGTAAGGTGCGCGCGCAGAGGATGCGAGTGTCGCATCTGGCGACGCACAGTGTCGTAGCCCGTCAAACGCCGAGCATTCTTTCTGTCTCGCCGCAACGCGCCGCGACGCGCCGCGACGCTCCGCAACGCACGACGACGCGCGGCGACGCGCCGCCGGAATATCCCGAATAGATCAAACTCCCTCGCTCGCGACTCGCGGCTCGCGCACCCACTCTTCCGCGCGCCTT